CTTGACTTTTTAACATTAATAATAAATGTTAAAACAAATGTCTTTTGGACTAAAATTTTGATTTATTTACTTTTAAACAAAAGGCAAAACACAGAGGGGAAATCGCTTATTAATAAAAACAATTAACAATTCATAGACTTCTACATGTATAACTTGTTTTTGATACATTTATATTTAAAAAAAGGAAAAATAATTTCTTCTGAAAAGTGCTAAATAAAGCTGAGCTGGATGTGTCACCATAGAGACACATATGAAGAGGCTCAGCTTCAAAAATTAAACTGATGCCAGGTGCCATGAATGAAGTGTATAAAATGTCACAACTCAGTACCTGCAGGCTACATCCAATAATCAATATCTGTAGTGGATGATTCATAGATCATCAGTCGCACTACATATTCAATGAGTTCAAGATGAGTGTGCACCAGCTGCACTTGTGGGAGGGTCAGCTGTAGTGAGAAAACATGCAGCACTTTTCGCGTTGCCAAATAATGACAAATGAAATGCACATTTTGCTGACAAATTGGATTTGTCTTCCAAGCTGCTCAAAAAGCTTTTTTTGTTTAGTAGTTCTCAATTATGTGGATGACTTTTCTCAGTGATGAGGATATATTTTATGAGTAACTACAACTCACAACCTGAGACTAATTAACTTGTTGTGAAAAAAAAAACAGCTCCTTCTGACTACTCAGATTCATGTATTGAGTTGTAAGCCCTCAAGAATTAGTCCAACTCCCCTCATCTGAAGCTTTTAGGTGTTCATTGACATGTCCCAGCAGTCTGAACAGGATTAAATGACATTTCCAAGCAGTTGGGATCTTATCACTTGTCAATTAATCAGTACTGTAATCACTCAAATATGTCTCTTTTTAAGGTTTCTTCCAGAAGCTGCGATTTTGCTTTTGAATGCTTTCTCTGATTCAGGTGATGATTAGAAGAATGTCAGACAACTCCAAATTTAAGACGCGTCTGTAATTCACAGAACTGTATTCGATTTAAACTAAACACAGCCTGTCGGCAAAAACAACTTTTTAATAGTTTTTGAGAACTGCAGTGGAGGGATGATGGTTTGGGCTGAACCTGTCAATATCTCGTTCTGTTCAGTAAAATGTTCTTGAGTGAGACGATTAGACAAAGAGAAACTAAGACGAAAGATCCTAATCAACAAATGAATCCCGGAAGACAAAAAGAATGATAATGTTGCTCTGTGGAAAACGAAGCTCAGACCTCGACTCCATGTTAATGACACAATGTATCTTGGTTACTGCTTTCATCTAGGATTTTATCCACTTATCTTTAATTTTCAGGGCGGACCAGATGATTTCTGGTTTGTTCTGAAACAGGAAACCTAATTAAACAGAGGATGTTTTCAGTTTTGGCCATGACCGTGCGTTCAGATCATAATCTCTTCACTGCATACAGGCCGAGGATCTCGCCAACAAGACCAGAGAGCTCAAGGGACTGATAGACGACTCAGAGAGTGTCATCTTTATCAATCTGGACAGGTACATGCCCTGATTGGACATTGTTTCAAAACGTTATATGTACAACCATGTCCGGAGAAAGAGACATGTCGGCACAGTAAGCAGTCAGGGTCTTGTTGGAAACTGCTGTTCTGTCCACTTTGCCATTCTTTCTTTGATTCTCCAGAAAAATTGTGAAAATATTCACAGTTCACGTAACATAGCTATGCATGTAACTATGTCTTTCCTGCTGCAGCCATCGTAATGTGATGATGCGTCTGAATCTGCAGCTGACTATGGGTTCCTTCTCCCTGACCTTGTTTGGGCTCATCGGGGTGGCTTTTGGAATGAATTTAACGACGGCCTTTGAAGATGTAAGTCATTCTACTGTTAATCATGCCTTATGGTTCAAATTGTTTATCTGCTAAGTGTCTGCCTATCTTTGTTCATCACAGGACCCTCGTGCTTTCTGGCTGGTAACAGGCTTCATGTTTTTGGGCAGCGGCTTAATATGGAGACGCCTCTTATCGTTTCTAGGACGGCATCTACATCCCCCATCAATGGTAATCCAAACTCTGCAGTTCCACTACACGGCATTGTTGTACGTTTAAGCATTTTGTCACGCCGCAAGCACATTCTCCAGAGTATTTTATTGGATTATAATGAGGTAGACTATCACAAAGCAATAATTATGGCATATTTCATCTAATATTGTCATTTTTCTACATTCTGTTTTACAAATTTAAGTCTAAAAAGAGTAGTATTCATTTGTATTTCCCTCCAGCCGTCTATCTCCATCCAACTTCAAGTCAATTATTCACATGTGGGCTCTATTAACTAACTACATGACTTCTGATGGCAGTTAGCCGCACTGGATTTTATTTAGCTATATCAGATTTTCTTTATTTTAAAAACAATTTTGCGTTAGTATAGCAAATAAAAACCCAGGAAAATACATTGAAGATCATGGTTTAAACATGTCAAAGTGTACTGTTGCGTGTATTTGTACATACTGTATGTGAATCCCTGTCTGAACTCCTATAAGTTACTGTGTTGTAATGGCTAATTTGTGTTTTGTTTGTGACACAGTTTCCTTCCATTTGGAAAAGAAATGTAAAACCGCAAGATACTAAGCCTGGAGTCAGATGAGGTCCTGGTTTCAACTTAGGAAAAAAAACAGACCAGAGCCTGCAGCTGTGAAGACGATCCTATCACCATGCCTATAAGACACCATGAGTCTCACCTTTGTGTGCCCCTTTTTTGTGGTACTAGTAGCGGTCGAGGCTGTGTCCACACTATTCTGTGTTTTTGTTGTATCATTTGGCTATTCCAGACCTCCAAATGAATATGTTCACAACCTGTTTTTATTCAGAGTAAAGTTACGGAAAATCACTTTGTTGTTTCTGGTGTTAATGCCTTGGAAGGTGAGTGGCAGATCCTGACCTGAGACAGATGACCATCCAAACCATTAAAGGAGCGGTACTTTAAAAAGTGGCTTTTTCAAGAGTAGATGTATATTTATTCTAATGTGAAATTTTAATATGTGTTTAAAGTTAAAAGTCAGCCTCCAACTTTGCATAAAGAATGGCTATGAATTTAAACCAGAGTTCTTACAGTGTGGCATGCACTGCTTTGGAAAGAGTGACGCGAGTTGATAATCTGGTATGTTCTGTGGTTGCCAACATGTGTCATTAAAATTAACTGATGCATAACAACTGGTCCGTGTCATTTCCGTTTAAAATAATGGCCGAGCGGTCTAACTAGTTTGTCCTGTGTTGAAAAAAATGATCGCAGTACTTACATGAAATGCTTTAAGACTTCATGCTGACTTTGTTATATCACTAATCCTATTCAGAATTTTAATGGTGAAACATCAGTGAAAACATGCAAATCCCTTTGAATTAAGAGGTTTTATCACTTTAAACCTGAAACGTGAAGCACAAATTGAAATTATTGGGGAAGAAAATTACCTCTTACTGAACAAGGTAATTCGGCGACTGAGCATGAAAGTTGCAGGTATTTGAACCCTTCAAGATGAAAGTTCTTAAACTATAGTTAGTAGGATTTTTTCCAAAGATCTAATCTATTAAAACAGTAAAACATACTATTCAAAAGTTGGTTTGATTGCAAGCCCCTCTGCAAAAAGTATTACTGCCTCACTGTTTTTGCTTTTCAAACCTATGAAATAATAATTGGCACTGATTTTTGTAGGTTTTGTCAACAGCATTTAGTGTGATTTATTTATTACACCAAACAAAGGGACTTTAGGTAACTAAGTCATAAATATACTTACATGATTATTTACACCATTAAGAAGGTCTGAATAAAAAAGTTTAGCTGTACTAGGTATTTGGGTTTTCAGTTCAAGTATTTTTGATGTTAAATTCTTGATTTTGACAAACTAAATCCTATCAGTAACTTAATGCATCAGCAGCTAATGTCTTAATGGTTTGTTTCACTTGGTTTACAGTAATTGAGGGAATTGTTTGCCCTTTTGGTTTAGCTTTTTGGTTAAAAATATAAAGTTTTATATTAAACATATCAATACCAAAGATAACCTGAGTTTTCAAATGATTTATTTAGAGAAAAGATCTATTCAACCTTCCTATTATCATGTAATTGTTCCCTTGTTAAACAATTAACTGAGATTACAATGTTTCACTTGGATTACTAACAGACCTTTAGAATTGGAAAAAATTACTTACATCGAACCATGAAGTAGGCTGAAATAGCTCAAAAATCAACACAGACGAGAAATGACATTATTAACACCTATCAGTTCGGGAATCTGCCACAAAGCCAAAAGGGCTCTTTTTTTCGCATTTTCCTTTTCTGTTTTAACTATCATTCTTCACTAGAGGGCACAAGCTGGGTGCAGAGACTGTACCGCCTTGCTCCATCTATCTGAGATGCAACACAATGTCACAAACTAACCTGTTTTGTGAATTTTCTGTTTTTGCTGTAAGAGGCTCGGTGAGATTTATTTTATTTATTATTATTATTATTATTATTATCATCAAACATGTCTTTATAGATATTTTTACTCAAACAGTTGGGTTGTTTCATACTTTATTGAAACGATCGAGACCCATAAGCAGGTAACTTCACTTAAACGATTGCAAAAAAGCTCGTATTACTTCACTTATGAAAATAAAGACAATACAACTGAGGCGACGTAGAAAAGACGTATTTTAAAATACCACAAAATTAAATGCGTTGTCACGACAACCAGTCTCAGAATAACAAACTCCCCTTTAGCTTCCCCCCCAACCAACCCATCACCTTCATGAATGAACGTCACGCCGCGCTGACGTCATTGCGCAGCCACGCTGCGTAGCCAGTCTAAACATCTCCACAGTGGAACTTTGCTTTCACACCGAGCTTGGGAGTTGTTCCCGACGGATCTGAGATTTAAGCAAACTACGTTTCCATCAAACCGTCACGAAAATTTTGAACAGTTCTGTTTTATTATCAGTTATCTTAACTATTTATATTTTTTTTCGGTTTGTGGTTTCAATTGTAAAATATTTTTCCTTGTACAATTTTTTTTTTTTTTTCCGTTGTTTGGTCGTCAAGATGAAGAATCTGTGGCTTTTCTTCCTCGTCGCGCTGTCGACTGGGTTTATCAGCGACAAGGTAACGAGCTTTTATTTTGGGTTCTGCTTTCACAGTGGGTTCGCTCACATAGTTAATGACAAACTTAATTTTTTGTTCTCATTTCACGACCAGTTTAGCTACTTTCCAGCCGTTAAAAATGCGTTTGGAAAACTCCCATAATGTTTGTTTTTGTTCAGATGGTTTGTTGTTTTTCGTTTAACGTTCCTCCTGAAGAATTATCAACATTTTCCAGATCTTCTCAAAAGTGTATTTTCATGTTGTTCGAAGTTGTTTTGCCATTGTCTTTGTTTATTTTATACAATCTCATGTTTAGATTTTTTTTTTAAATCAAAAGTGTGCCACAAATAATTAAGTTAAACGTAAACACGGATGACATTATCAAGCTGTAATGTGAAAATTGCAGTTACTAACACAGATGTTGGCTGATAATCATGTTGTGGATTGTAGCCAAGTTCAAGCTTTCCACCAGCTGGTGTCAAGTTCACAAGTCTGGCTAGCCTCCGGCTCAAAAGCTTTGACATTTAAACCAAAAGCTTGAGATCTGAACTCCCATTTAACCTGGGCTTCGATTTTAATACACAGATTAGATTAAAAAAAAAAAGAAAAGAAAAAAAAAGTTGAAATCTGAAGAGAAATATCAATATTTGGCCAGGATTCTTTTACATCTGTGCCAGATCCATAGTCTGAAATTTTCTTGGAGATAACAGGATAAATCACAGCTGTTTGTTGTGTTAGGTGTTAAAAATAATAACCTGTTTACAAGACCTGACTTAAAAAAAAAAAAAAAAAAATCCAGAGTGAGAGCCACAGACTCCAGAAAACGATTATTTAAGATTTATGGACTGTATGTTGTGAAAGAAAGGGAGCTGAAACTTGAGACCATTCTGGTAAATGAGGGGTGGGGAGCAAGACTTAGAGTTGTGGATATACTGTTTGGATTTTTGTTTTGTTTATTCCCATTCTGTAGATCAGTGGCTGCCAAACTTCTTGAGCTTACCAAGTCACAAAGTAGCCTTGGGGGAAAAAAAAACTATATATGCATTCATAAACATGAATACACATTGTAGTTTTCTTTTATTTTTAACAGAGCCTCATTTTTGAGGAGGATTGTAAGACCCCAGGCTTGTTGATTTGTGAAACCTCTGGTAGTCTCAACCCCGATTGTTGAGTTTGTTCTCCCATCCAGTTATTGAAGTTCTGTTTAAATTCATTTTAAATGCAAATATAGATGCAACAATCAATCACTGGGAATCAGCCTTGACCCCCGTAATGTTGAACTGTATCTCAAATACAGAAAAATCAAGGTGGTTTATTGAATTAAGGAGAAATGACTGAGGCTCCCCACTATTCTCACTCTATAACCACGCAAGCCAACTGCATGTACTTTGATTTTTGTTTCTGTGTGTTTTGATTTTTGGATATTTTTCCTGGAAACCAGTAATAAAAACGACATAACAAAAGTTCTATTTCAAAATGAACGTAACACAGTCCAAATAAATTGTTGTAAAGGGCTATTTCTTTTTTTCTGTGGTGAAGTTTGCAGTGCGAGTATAGCTTTACATCGTAAAAACAAATCCATTGGCAAAGAGAAGTATATTTTTTTTTTCCATCATAGGCCCAGAAAGGCACATGAATCTGAGAACATAGTGATTATAGGAAGCACTATTTCTTCTGTACATCAAAAAGGTGCTGTCCTGCTTCTTTGTTTCATTACAGAACAAATATTGTAAATAAAGATCACAAAAAAAACATATCTAAAATGAAGTGAAAATTACTACAAAATGAATGCACCTCTACACGGATTTATTTAACTTGATGAGAAAGAGAGAAGGGAAAAGTCATGTCAGCTTTTTGTAAGACATAAATATGGCATAAATAAAGCCTTAAGAAATTTGACCACAAACCTTTGAAAAAGGTGCCACAAAATCTATCATTTTAGATTGCAAGAATCATAAGAAGAAAAAAAAAAGAAAACATGCAACATCATGGAGGGACTAGTTTAAGCATATATTTTGCTTGGAAAATTTGGGTGAGAAAATGAACAAGCTTTCATTTTTTCTTTATCAGTGATTCTTTGTAGAAGAATGCAAAAGAGAATCAAACCAAAAATGAAAAAGTATCTATATTATTATGTATTTTAAAACCAAAAATAATAATAATAATAAAAAAACACCTGTTTTTATATGTTTATTTCTGGTTCCAGGTGAAAAACCAAATCACCTGGAGCCAGGTGAACGTTGACCATTGACACATTTTAGCTTCATTGGAATCAAGTGGGTGTTGGGAGTCATATGCATCGAAATGGGGATTAACTTCCTACCTCCAGTAAAGGATTTCTTTTCTCTATCATTTGTTACAGTTCTCGGGAAACCAAAACCCTTTGAAAATCAGACCAAAAAGAAAATGAAAACCTTGTATTCTCCCCGCACCCAAAAAAGTATCTCTAATTGTTTTTCTTTTTTTTTTTTTTTTTTTTTTTTTTTTGCTCAGAGGCAACAGAAACATTATCTTCCCAGAATGGTGGCCGATACTTATTTCACCATTCTGCTCAGATTCCTCCTTACTTCATGTCTCTAATACAGGCTCCAGGCCTAAATTGCTGGGTGTGATGAGTTGCATCACATATATAATGTATATATATCTCCAAACTATGCTTCTCCTTGTGTGGTTGAGTTGGCTAAAGAGCGAGTGCTTCGTCAGCCGGTAACGCTGCTCTCCTCTGAAAGCAGAACGTCGAAGCGGGCGTTTGGTCCATGCCAGCATGTGGGCCGGTAGTTGTGTCATTTTCTGGATGGATGACTCACAGCGAGTCCCTTTGGGCTTGTCCAGGCAGGCACGTTACTGCGTGGAGCACACGCAGTTTTACGCCGAACCACACAAGGAAGGAGAAAGACAGTGACACATTGTCACACTGGTTTTAATGAGTCTTTTTATGGCGCTTTAAAAAGCCTGCTCCCAAAACGCACATGTGGCTGTGAAATTACTCTTCCACTGCGCAGTAAAATCAGACATAATGAAATGTAAATAAAAGTAGGCTGGTATCGCTTGTGGCGATGTGCTGCGTCGGTGCAGTTTCAGGTTTTAACAGTGTGAGTCACGGCATTGTTGAACAGAGATAAGACAACCACTCCAGGTCCGACCCAGTAAACCGAAGTTTATTGGGTCAGACTGTTTAAGTTAAGCTGTTTTAGTTGTTTTTTTTTTTTTTGAGGATCCCTCTTCCTCCTTTCTTCCCGTAGCGAAAACATTCTAATGATTTTTCCCAATGCGTGGACTAGGACCTTTGCATTACAGTGTTACTCTGTCGTTATCTCCATGCTGAACCCCTTCGCGACAGATAATGTCACAGTTAGATGTCTGGAAACTGCACTCTGAAGTTTAAAGATCACGAAGGCCTGCTGAGCTACAACAGAAAAGCTCAGATTTGTTTATTTCTGACACCTTTGAAGCTGTTAAAAAGACGCAGGCTTGATGTTGAGGTGGTCAAACGTTCTGTTCTGTGTTGCCTTGATCAAACATGCGCCCTCTTTACACAGCATTGTGTAAAGCAGGTATCTCGATGACGATGACAGGCTCTTCTGTGTGCTTTGGCCTGTTACACAATCTCTCGCTTGTCTCTACTCACTGGCTCCCATCTCCCAGGAGAAATATTTACATATCATCCCCAGAAACACACGATGGGAGGGGGTTGCTAAATTTTATAACGCACTCTTCTAACACACTCACCCCCACTGAATGTTTAAATAGCTGCACTGCCCCGCTCCAGCTGTTTCCAGTAAACTGTCTTCGGCTTGATAAAGCTTTAGGAAACCACACCAGTGTATACGCTACGTATGCTGCGTATGTGTGTTTTCCAGATGTTTGACCTTTGTGTCACATCTACCAGTAAACTCTGACACACAACCTATCTCTAGCGACGAAAGCTCAGAGTATTGAGCTCGTTTGTTACATTTTGGCTTTTGTGTTTCAACGATTTTTTTTGGGGTTTTTTTGTTCAATTAATAGGAAAAAGCATTAAGCAAGGAGGGATGTTATGATTGTATGAAAATTAACTTTTCATAAGTTTTATCTTATTTTTCTATATTAGTTGCAACTAACCTACGATTATCGTCCTTTTTGATGTTGAGTCATGACGTTCCCAACTTTAGCTGCTAATTCACTAAAGCCCAGATTAAATCCAAACTTATTGCGCTTTTAGAAGGCCTTTTCATTGATGCAGCCAACTCACTGCTATAAAGAATGTATGCAGACACATTCTTAATAATCTAAGAACTTAATCAACTTTTTTGTCACAAAACTTCAATGTGACGCACAGTGATGGCAGCATCATGATGTGGGCATGCTTTTCAGGAAGAAAAAAAAATCCTAGAAAAGAAGTTGTGTTGCAATGCTGAAAAAGGAGTGGGGATCCATCCTCAAGCAGAAGAGTGTCTCTACAACTAGATTTCTGATTAAATGGTTTTGATTTAAACCAATTAATGTGTTGGTATGGCCCAGTAACTTCTAGACTCGAATGCCTTTGGGAGGCTGTGGCAAGATTTGGAAACTTGCTGTTATGACCTCTATATCCCATAAGTGTGAGCCTGAATGAATTTACATCAGGAAAATAAAAGGGGAACAACCGTGTTTTGTTGTGGAGACGCATGTTAAAAGATTTGCAGCTGTAATTGGTTCAATAAAGTAGTGACTGAGTGGGGCGGAGTACAAATGCAAGCTTTTCAGATTTTTGTTTGGGAAAAAAAATAAAAAATTAAAAGCAAGTTGTCTTTCTTTCATTTCACATTTCTGCGCCACTTCTTGTTTATCTATTACTTCAGATCTCAACGAGACACTTTGAAGTTGTCCCGTGAGTAAATGTGGAAAAATCCCAAGGGCCGTGCGGAGGCCGTTGTAGAGGTGGGCGTGACCTGCTCTTTTCGCTTTGCAGCAGACATCAGTTTAAACAACTGACGTCTGGCCTCAATTGGAGCTTGGAGGTGAATCCCAAACAACTATCTTTCTTCATCAGCGCAGACTCTAAATTTAAAGCCATTTGGTCTAATTGTTGGCAGTATCTGTTGGAATAAGATAAAAGTTCAGTCCTTTGTGTTTGCTCATAAGTTTTCATCATCTGGATTTGTAATTGTTGGCTAAAAACAGAAGCCTCTTCTGTTGTTTAGCCATGTTGTGCATTAGCTTCTTCTGCTGCCTTCAGAAATGGGTGGAAATTTTCTCTGCTGCCACAGTGTGAGCACATTTGGTCTGCTTCAGCTTTACCTCAGCTGGGTCATTTGTCTGTAAGAGATCTGAGCCACAGCTAATAGGGGCAGAAACAGTTCATTGTTTTGTAAACTTGGTCCATTGAACACCTTAAGCAAGAGCATATGATAGAAATGTACCGTTGTAGTGAGTTTATTCAACCGTGTGTTCGATTTTTCTCCCTAAAGCTGATGCTGATGATGTCTTTGTAATGCTAACTTTGAGTCGTAAACAGTAGTCATAGTAAAACTGAATCGGTCACCTTATCTCACACCTTTTGTTATCCTCGGCACCTGTTTTGTCAGACAAATAACTTGTTCTGTCTCTCTTCTTCCGCTCCCTCCCTTTCCTTTCTTCAGGCTTTCTCCTCTCTAAGTCTCTCAGCACCTGTGTTAGTGGAAGCATAGTATACATACCAGACATAGCTGAAGTCTCAAAGGACCATATTCATCCATGTCTGTGTGTGTCTTTCTGTCTTAACACCAACTGTGTGATTCCCCTCTCTCCTTCACTTTTTTTTTTTTTTTTTTAAATTTTCGGTCGTTATCAGGCTTCTCTTGTTTTCCATTTTGCCTGCCTGGTGTGTTCGTTGCCTCGGCTCCTCGCTGACTGGGCTTTGCGTGCAGTTTCTCAATGGTTTTCAGCACGTCACATTTGTGTAGCGCCAGGTTGCTAGGAGGGTATCCAGAGCAACGGCAGTAACCTTTTTAACGTGTGTATGCACTTTGTCTGTTTTGTCTGTTGTCTTTGAAGCTGCTCTATCTCTTTCTCTCTCACTCCCACTCCTCTCGAAAACACTTTGTTCTCAGCTGTCTGGCTCTGGGGAGTATCACAAATTACATTCATGACACATGAAATGAGCATAAATCCAGCTTAGGCCAACTACTCATACAATGGTATGGCTGCAGCTCACACCGTGGTTTCTCTCACAGACAGCAGTGCACACTTTCAGCATATTTGGCCTGCATACATCACTGGTTACGAGGGGTATTGTCTTACTCTAGATCTGCAGAGGTTTTCACATGGTTTCAATTAGTGGGTGGATTTCTGAAAGTGTGAATTTATGTGCATCAGTGTCTCTCGTTTCCTTTTTTGTCTTTCTTTGTATGTCTCCCCCCTTAAATTACAGTACTGTTTTTTCTCTGTCTTCCAGCTCCTTGTCCTGTCCCAGTCAACTACTTCCCAAGCAGATGACCTTTACATAGAGGAACCGGGATCAGGTGACGTCCCCATAGACGATGAAGATGGTGAAGATGATGGATCTGGCTCTGGGTCAGGGTCTGGAGACCATGGTAAGAGTGGCTTATTTTGGTCATTTTATTTCAATGCAAATTTTAAATTTACAGTAAAAAAAAAAAAAAAAAATATATATATATATATATATATATATATATATATATATATATATATATATATATATATATATACAGACATCATTAATTGGAAATTATTGCTGTCACAATAAATAATTTTTGTCACGACTGGAAATTTCTCACGATAAACAATACAATAAATACCAATCCTTGGTTCAACATAAGATTATTACTCCAAAACTGTAACATGAAATATTTAGGATTCACATTTTATTCCAATGTAACTTTTTTTATTGCCCATCAAATGAAGTCATTTACTGTAGTTAAGCAGATTCTGATTTCTGATGACATTTTAAGCTGTTTACATCACCTGAGGTTAGCACTGCTAGCTTTACAAAAGCAGTGAGGTCCAAGAGGAACTTTACTGTTATGTTTTAAGCCTTTCTGTCAACACCCTGAAAGTCTCGCTGACTCTTTCTCTCAATAGTTTCAATTTGAATTCTGTCTTACACCTAATATCTACCTTCGACACAGGTTTCAGTATCCTGTCAGATCAAGACGAATTATTCAGGTTCCTGAACATCACTGAGAGCATCCTTTACAAAGAGCTGCTGCCACTTCCACCACAGCCAACTGTGAGCTCTGCTGCCGATCCAGAACCTACACCATATGACACTGAGGTACAACAAACAATTTTTCAATTTTAATTTTACTGATTATTATTATTATTATTATTATTATTATTATTATTATTATGTTCCTTCATTGATGATAATCTCAGTTTTATTTTAATCAGCTATAATTTGCTTATGTAAACACACACTTATATATATGGTCACACACATTCAGTCACTGACCCACAGTACCTCTGGTTTTTGTTTTTGCATTAATGTACTGTTTATGTATTTTGTTATGTGGTATAATGGGAAAATGAAACCAAACATAAAAAAAAATCATCTGAAGCAATTTTGTTTACAATTTGAAAAGGTTTCATTGTTTCATTCTTTTTGTTGAACATTGATGAAATGTAAATTACTGCACTGTGCGGTATGTGAACACTAATTAAAAGCAATAAAACTAGACATTGTGTCAAGTTTGTTTTCAAATATGTCATGTCTTTGGTCACTCCAGACTGCAGACTCCACAAACAACTATGTTGTTAGCCAAGGCCTGAGTACCAGTACCAGTACCAGTGTCAGTGCCAGTCCTGTCGATGTGACTACTGAGTTTAGCCCTCCTGTGAATGAAGAGATCCTATTGGACACCAAAGTCTTGATCAAAGTTGAAAGTGAGAATTTTCCTGAAGGCGGACGAAACAGCCGGCGGAACGAGCTCAACTCTCCACAGGAAGTCACTTCTGAGAATCTGTGGGAGAGGACAGAGGTTCTTGCAGGTGAGGATAGGTTTTATAAGTTAGTCAGATTTATAATTCATAAAAGGCTCTGAATTTTTTTGTTTCAAAGATGACTTTGTAACAGTTTAAGGCTGCAAATAAAGTCGATTTTTAAAAAAATCCTTTTTGTCCTCAGCTGTCATTGCCTGCGGAGTGGTCGGATTCCTTTGTGCCATTTCCCTCCTCCTCCTCCTCGCCTACCGCATGAAGAAGAAGGACGAAGGAAGTTACGATTTGGGAGACACCAAAATGTCTGCAACAGCTTACCACAAAGCGCCCACCAAGGAGTTCTATGCCTGAACTAACCAGCAGGGACAATCTAATGTGGAGTCTGGCTCCTTCTGATCAGGACTAAATAAGGATCTTTAAACAGCTGAAGAAGATTCCTTCAGATGAAGTTTGAAGTGTCTGTTCTCCTCCAGTGCTGCAGACATATGTTGTTGTTGTTTTTTTTGCATCCTCATCCATCCCCATCTGTTTGTGTTTGCCACCATTTTCTGCTTTTTTCTCTACTTAATGCTAAGTTCCTATGCAGAAACGGTAATAAGGAAACAAATGTATTCCTCCTCAAATGCATTTGTGTCATTTCCTTCCTGGGAAGGACGTTGGCATAAATATTGAATGAGCTTTTTTTTTTTTTTTTTAAAAAAAAGGAACCTTTCCTTCACCCTAAATGGACCACAGATGTTCTAATTTTGTATGTTTATCAAATTAATACTTGTTCTAACACTGTGCCTTCAGACCTTTTCAGCTGAATCACACTGTAATTCATTGTCCCTTTTTAGAGGAGCTCAACAAGAAGATGGGGGCGTGGGGGAACTGAGAAAACCGGACTCTGATAGTTTTGATTACTTTTTAATTAAAATGGTACTACATATATTAGTATTACAACCCTGTTCTTGTTGAGGTCATGCTTTCTTCATTAGTTCACTTCTGTTATATTTCATTTCGTTTATGCTTCTTTGTTAAAATCTTAATATTTTTGTTATGACAATGAATCTTTTCATAAGCTGCCCAGTATTGCCATGAGAGATTTTCTTACGCTGCAGGTACAAGTTCGATATGTATGTATGTTTGTTTTTTTTTTTCCTTCCTCCCTAAAGATATTTAACAGTTATAGAAACTGACCAAATATAATAAACATGCTTTACCTTTTTCAAAAAAAATTTTTTTTGATGTTAATGTTTAGAGGATATATTTCTGTAAGCCAAGAGATTTCCATTCCATACAGGTCCCTCAGGTATATAGCGTGTTTCAAACATTTCTTATATTTTCAGGATTATCTGACTTGGTGACTGAGTTCTGCAGGCATGTGGGACAGGTAGAGCCAAAACTAATGACTATAATTCAGAACCCACAGAAGTGACCAAAGTGTCTGGTGACAGCCAAAGCACATTCCTTTCCTGACTGTCCACTGTTTGCAGCTGTGAAAGAGGGTTTGGAGTTAAAGTAAAAACATCTCGTGTTACTTATTATTTTAGTGTTGGCTATAAAGGTCTGTTTATCTGAACTACAATATTCTTTTTTTATTGGTTTAATATGCATGTACATAAGTTTTATAGGTTTATTACCTGGTTGTTAAACTTTACCTCAAATGGCCAAAGAAGCATAGCGGGAGCTGCAGTAATAATACAGGTTACAGCAATGACAAAAGGGTGGTATTCATTTTTATTAGCACATACATGTACACCCAGCTGATGCAATATTTTAATAGGAAGGTTAGACATTTTATTATGTATGGACTTTATTTACTTGCTGCCTATAATATATGTTGAAGACTGTTTAATAGATGCTTCTTGGAGATTTAAAATGTATCCTTTTAAATACCAGGAATATGATCCAGATATGCTTTTGTCTGGATAACTGAGATCAGTGGTTGATTCAGAGAGGATTGAGCAAATGGTTAGACCTTAACTTCAAGGTATTACCAAAAGAGAGAGTTCAGGCCTTTTTATGAATTTAGTTTAATGTCATAAATAATTGAACAGTTGAACAATTGCTGTGTTGGGTTTTTTTCATGCCTTATTTCATTACATGTTAAATCAAAGGTCATTGTCTTCTTGTTTTTTTTTGTTTCCATATTTGATTTGTTATTTTGCAGTTATCTTTGTTCATAGAAGAGACACTATGAAGTTATCTGAATGCAAATGCAAACAACCTATTCACTGTGGCTGGAATAAACGGGAGGATGTGGTCACCGACCTTCTGTTTAGCGAACACTCAAACCGTCAGTGCCTCTCGCAGGGCTTTCGTCTGTTGTGCTGTTACAGTATTAGTATTGGGTTTTGAACTTTGAGCTGCACTCAATCAAAATCGGCCTTATCTTGTTTCAGAGGTCACCGCAGCGCTGTCCAGAAAACTTTGACCGTTGCAAAAACCAGAACGAGGGCAAACGGTGTCTTAGCATTTGCTACAACCCAGTAGGTAATGAGACGCAGTGATGTATGCGTTATTCTGTCTTTCGTCATAAGTGGCAAGTAAATTACACTTTAATTTATACATAATTTATACATACTCTCCATTATGTTGGTGATACTTGGGAATAGAATACAATATGCTTTTTCCCTCTTGCATAGGCTGTTTTCTAATGTCAGCTACATTGAGGTTTGTAGTTGACAAACTTCAATGTTGATTTGCAGCATAGATGTTGTTTATCTAAAGAAAAAAAATCTTATAAATTTAATTGGTACATAATTCAAATGGAGCATGTTAAAAATAATGATTGTCTTTATCAGTGTTAAAGATACTTGGTTGTAGTCAAAGAAACAAAAACAATCGTGTGAGCACAAATCAACTCACCAAAATCGCTGATGCATTGTGGGAGGAACTGTGTTGTTGGTGGATCTCATAAAATTTATTTCTCAATAAAAATGTGACATTATTGCAGTGTTGAAAGTGGCCTTTTTTTCCTCTGAACATTTTTGAATTTTTGCAAACATAAAACAATATTGTGTGTTTGCAACCTTATGTCAGCTGAACATTCTCCAAATTGATATGCACATAACTGTGCATTACTTTGTAACCTCTTGGTAAGCACATTTCTGTGAGAAAGCATTGCCAGAAAAAACACAGAAAGTCTTTTTTAATTATTTCATTTATTATGAGCAAAGCCTATGCAAATTAAGAGGTGAAAAAAATAACCTTGTTGAATCATGTCTGAACTGTGTTTGACCCCATTTTTTGGAAAGCTGATGTCAAAAAGTGATGATCACGTTTTGGAACATGTGCATTTCTTTGCATCGTAACCATAAAACTAACAGCATTGGAAAAAACAACCTGGTGCATAAATGCTACGGTGGTGGTGGTGTGATGACATGATCTATAGTCGCCAATGAATGGGTAGACCTGGACTACATTGGATATTAAATTTTGATTGAGATATTTTTGCAGGACCCTGAGTGTGGCATTCAGGTTTACAAATCTTCCATTTTGGCTGAATGAAAGCAGTTTTGCAAAGAAAAGTGGGTGAAAATTAAGACTCATTGCCATTTAGGATCTCAAGCCCTTAATGGCAGAAGCTGCCATGAAAAGTGGCACACGCAATTAATAGGTTTCGGGTGCAAATAGTTTTTCACACTTGTCTTTTTTTTCCCCCCTTAATTCATAAACTTGTCATCTGCATTTTGTCTCTACTGTGGTTATGTTTATCTGTTATTAAAATTTGCTTAGTTTGAAAGATTTAGGTGTAACAAAAAAACAGAAACAGAAGAAATATGATATGAATACTTTCACAATCCTGTATATGCACCTATTTGTAGATAGTTGGATAACTAGTCCACCATTGTTTTTTTTTATTGTTGTATTGTAAAAGAGTACATGTCTGAAGCTAATTCATCAACATTTGGATTATTTCTAATAATCAGACGTTTTTCCGTACCTGGTGGTTGGAGAGGGGGAACTCCAAAACGTATATACACACATAAATAAAGGGGTAAAACGTGCCTGAAGTCTTACTGTCCTCTGTGCAAAAAGCAAACATCTTAAAGTAAATTACAAGTTTAAAAACACTTCACATAATCTCATATTGTATAAAAGCAGGTTTTGCGAAACTAAGTTAATTTGGGTGGAACAATTTAAGTGGACAGCAGTGATTGCAGAGGAATGCTGGGGATTAGTGGTAAAGAAAGCTGGAGGATGCAAACCACAGATTGGGATGTGGGCAGATAAGTGCTGTGCTTTTTGCACTGCGGATACAATCCATCCCAAGCACTGGGCATTATTATGGCAACTGAAATGTTTACAAGAAGATTAAGGCTTACATATTTAGCCGTGAAGCAATTACTAAGAACCTGCACTAATCCAGATGTACCAACACCATGTTAGACCTCAGGTTATGCACAGTGCAGACAGCGCGTATAGTTGCATGTCATTCATGGATGATTTGCACACATTTTTCACATCTGCCCACAAATTCTCTGAGGGATTGAGATCAGAGCTTTGTGATGACAACGCCAAAACATTGACTGTTTTCCATAAGCCACTTCATGAACACTTTGGCTGTTTGTTTAAGATCATTGTTCATTTGTAAGACCAATTTGCACTTGAGCTTTAACTTCTTGACTGATGTCTTTAGATCTTGCTTCAATATTTCCTCATAATGTTCTTTTCTCGTGATTGCCATCTATTTTATAAGTACACCACCTCCTCCTGCAGCAAACCAGCCCCACAGCATGACGCTACAAACCCCCATACACAATAGAGATGGTGTTCCCAGGCTTACAAGCCGCCCCCTTTTTTATCCAATGTAATAATAGTCATTGTGGACAAACCACTTTAGTTTCATCAGACCACACGATGTGACTCAAAAAATGGAGATGTTTGTCCCTGTGTGCATTTGCAAATTGCAGTCTGCCTGTTATATGTTTCATTTGGAGTAAAGGCTTTCTTCTTGCTGAGTGGTCTTTCAACCCGTGTCCAAAACAGGACACAGTTCACTGTGGATAATGAGACTGTGCTACCAGCTTCAGGCAGCATCCTCACAAGGTCTTTGGCTTTTTTTTTTTTTCTTCTGGGGTCAATTTTCACATCTCAGACCAAAATACGCTCACCTCTGGGACACAGAACTCATCTCCCTCCCGACTGGTTTAATGGTGGACATACCCATCGTCTGTATACTTGCATATAATTGCATGAACAGATGAATTCTGCAGCTTCAAGCATCTGGAAATTGTTCCCAAGGAGGAACCAGACCTGTGCAGCTCCATAGTTCTCTTTCTTATATCTTGGTTGATTTCTTTTGACCTTGCCATTGTGTCAAATAAGAAAGAAGTGTGTTCAAGACGTGGCCTTAACATACATGAATAGATGGGTCTCCAATTAACTCAAATGTGTCAGTTAACCTATCAGAAGTTTTGGAAGCCACGACATCGTCATCTGACTCAGTTTAGTACGTATAGGCAGTAAAATCAATAAGCCAAGCTTATGTTCTATGAAAACAATAGCAGAGTTTTCAAAGTAATGGTACCAGTGGGTCCAAAGATGACTCTTGGAATTAAACACAGCCCAAACCTAATAAGCCAGGTGTTTTTTTCCCTTTAAAGAGTTTTAACTTATCTTTGTGAAGAAACAGGTTCAGTAATTTCTGTCAAACATTCAATTCAGTCATAATCTAACTCTTCTGTCTGTTCTTTTACAAACCTTTGGGTGTTATGATCCAAAACCTTTTCTAGGCATGGATGTTTTTTGTCCAAAAATACACCGCTGGTTAAATACTTAAAATTTAAACTTGTAGGAGTCAAAGAAAAAAAAAGACTTAGTGGTGTAGCAGAATGAGAAAAGTACATATAATTTTGTTTTTAAAACTGTAATTAACATGATACTGTTGTGCACAACTGAGAGATAAAATACAAAACCAAACGAAGAAAAAAGAAAACTCTTTCTCTTTTCTTTTCTCTTTTCAATAGAACCGAAGTTCAACTTTGATTTCCCAAATTTTAGGCTTTTGTCGAACAGATTTTCTTTCAAAGTAAATGACACAGTAAAATACATAATTATTCCTATTGTGCGTCTTTGAATACTTGAAAGTTAATTTTTAAAAAATGCATTTACTGATATCACATGTTTTAAATACATGTGTAATACAAGTAAAAAAAAATAATTTTACGCAAAATTAAAAACATGAGTAATACTTTTATTTTGAAAACTGACGCCAGCCGGAAGTTTGCATGCACCACAAAATAATACGGAAATAGAGATTACACTTCTGCATCTCTACATTGTATGCGGTGAGGACGTTTAACTCCTTATAAGATCTTGAAGCGTCAAAGATAACAATCTCAAGGGTTTGTGTTTGTTTATTTTTAATGTGATTTTATTTTCAAAAATTACGATAATTGTTCCATTTACTTATCAGCTGTTGAAAAGGATTGTCAGTTTTTTTTAAATATCCTGCTATCTGTTGCAATTATGGTCAAAATTGACTTCCTGCTCGACATTAGTTTTGTGTGTGTGTGTGTGTGTGTTGCTCAGGTCAGAGTTTTAATTTATACCGAGTTCACATTTATTCTCTATGCTACCTCGTTGTACTGTTAGAAATCATATGTACACCAAATGTAACCCGTAGATTTTACTGGCTGTGTCTAATTTGTGGTCACTTTGACATTTCTTTCCACAGATGACATTAGAGGTGAAAGTGGCCTTTCTTCCTCCTCTTTTTATGTTTGTCTTGTCACTTGGTTCTGAAAGCCATACTCTCTCTGAGCGCTTCAGAAGTCCTGCCATCAGGGTTGTATCTAATGAAACCACAAAGAAAGGTAAATAATTCATACACCTTAGCAACCAGTTGTTTTTGCAAGAAAAAAAACACAAATCATAGCTTTCATATTGAACTACTCTACTAGCCTTTTTTTTTTTTCAAAAGTAGTAGTCTCCTTTATTGAAACAATCCAGTAAATGAGAGCCACTGTTCTCTGCAAACAGTTCTGTGCAGTAAAGATTTTTTGTTATTGGACATAATGGCTCACTGCCCAGGGCACCATTACGTCCGAGGGCAACACAAAAAAAAATTAGGTTAGCTGCACTCAAATTTGTTTTTTTTTAAATGGTACCTTGCATATCTAGACAGTAGAGAGTGGATACCCCCACAGTGTTGCTTTAGTGTAAGCACTGTACATTTTGCTAAAAGTATTGAAACTGGTATGTCTATTTTATTCAATTTTCTTTCTATTAGTATTTATTTTTTTTCTATTCATGTCTTTAGGTTTTCAGAACTTACATTTGTCTTTTTACCTTCTTTCCCTCAAACTACACAATTGCCTCTTGTTCTATTTATTTATTCAACATTTGATTATATCTAGTGTGTTTTGAGTGCTGTAAAGCAGTGTTTCCCAACCCTGGTCCTCAAGGCATACTGTCCTACATGCCTTAATGTGCCTGATTCAGCTGATTGCAGTTCAGCAAACGCCTGTTTATCAGTCATTGATTGAAATCAGTTTGACTGAAGCAAGGAAATACCTAAAACATGCAGGGCAGTGGACCAGGGTTGGGAAACACTGCTGTAAAGTTCTTACACTTCTCTGTATAAAAAGAGCTCTACAAATAAAGTTTGATTGATGGGACTTTGTTGTTGATACCTTTTCTCTAACTTCAAAGTCAGGGATCTACAGCTCCAGTCATTGAGTGCTTGTGTCCTGCAACTTCTGGATACCTTCCTGCTCAAACACACCTGAACTAAATGAATAGTTAATGACCAGGCCTTTGCAAAATTTGTTGACACACACAGGAGGCAGTTTGGCATTTTGAGTCGGGTGTATTGGAGCAGAGTTGAACCAGTTGGGGTAAATTTTCTGGGACAATCTCTTGGAAGATCTGTAGCTGATTTACATTCTTTCTCCTTGTTAATCTTTTTATCTATTGGACTGATTTGATTGCTGATGTTTTCACTTCTTGGCTTTGTGTTAACACTTAACTCCAGACCAGCAAACAGCCAAAGTTTCTTTTATAGAGGGTATAACACTTCACAGTGATAATTCATAAGTTATATTGTGTCACCTTCACCAAACTGTTTCTATCTATTCAGGAATGTATCAACATGTTATTGTCGACATAATCCAGTAAAATAAATCCTAATTGTTCTGCAGTAGATTTAGTCAAACTTTTATAAAAAGAAAGAAAATACAGTTTGTATTCTTTTGGAACCCAGCTCCAGATGTAGCAGCAGAGGTGGGAAGATATGAAGATGTGGCCAAGCGCATCATTGAGCTAGCTGTATTTGGTGCGGCCCAGAACCGCTCCTACAGACGGCTGGCTGACTTTACTGACACCATAGGGAACCGGGTCAGTGGGTCACAGAACCTGGAAATGGCTATTAAATACATGTACAATGCCATGAAACAGGATGGACTGGATGTTCATCTGGGTGAGTTTTGAAGATATGCTACGAAATCTTTCCTGAGAACCTCGATTTATTTATTTTCTTTTTGCATTTGTGTTCACTTGTCTTGTTTTTTCTACAGAACCAGTAAAAATCCCTCACTGGGTAAGAGGAAAGGAAAGTGCAGAGATGATTAAGCCCAGGACCAAGAGCCTGGCCATGCTGGGCCTGGGCAGCAGTGTCGGAACGCCTCCAGAAGGTTGACGATCACACTTTATTAAGCCATGTTAATTTGTGCACCAGCACTCCATTAGCATTCACTGACTCGTTCCTATCTGTTCAGGTGTTGAGGCTGAGGTGTTGGTGGTTCAGTCTTTTGAGGAACTGAAGCGTAGAGCCAGCGAGGCCACAGGGAGGATTGTGGTTTTTAACCAGCCTTTTACTAACTACCCGGAGACGGTTGCTTATCGCGGTTTCGGTGCTTCAGAGGCAGCTAAAGTGGGAGCTGTGGCCACACTCATTCGCTCTGTCACCCCTTTCTCTATAAACAGGTATTTGTCCCCTTTCGCTGTCTAGTGCCCCTCCAGTTAATGCGGATAGTTTCCCATTGTTGTGCTTTTTCCTTCTAGTCCTCACACAGGTTGGCAGATCTACGAAGAGGGAGTGAAGCGAATCCCCACAGCCTGCATCACAGTGGAAGATGCTGAGCTAATGTGGCGTTTGGCCCAAAACAAACAGAAGATTGTGGTCAGACTCATAATGGGAGCCCAGACTCTGCCAGATGCTGACTCTTTTAACACAGTGGCCGAAATAAGAGGCTGGCAGCACCCGGAGCAGGTAGCATTCACTCATGTCTACCTGCATGACTTATTTATCTCTGTAAACCATCAGACCACAGTCTCTTTGTTTTTACCTCACACAATAAATCTTAGTCGCAGGGTAAGCGTGTTGGGTGGATAATCTGAATGATGTGCATGGAAAAATTAAAATATTGTTTAAGGTTTATACAATACTAAATCTAAAAAAAATCGTTCTGTGTCCCTACTTTATCATGTTGGAGAAGGATTGCAAGGCTACCCCTGGTTTTCCTTAACAAAGATTTCCCAAAGTGTTTGGTCAGCATTTATTTTGCTGTAGAGGCACCTGGTCTTTCTGGGAACCTCTATCTCACAGAGCAGATTTCTGTTATGTAAACAAGTGTATTTCTATGTTCATAAACTTCCAAAATGTAATTATTTGAACTGTGATTTAGTTATAAGTAGTATAAAGTTGGCCTGGCACTTTTTTGCCTAGGGTGTCTTTTCCTCACCGACCCTTGATGGATCTGGTTGGGTTTTAGTGTCAGGGCAGATTTTTTTTTTTCTGTAAAAGGAGAACAAGATATTCCTCCTGATGCATAAATGGCTTTGTTTCAATAAAACAATAGATTGCATGTTGCTACGACAACAAGGAGAGCTGGTCATAATAGTTGTAAAGAGATATGGGCCGTTTCTCAATACTCAAAAACGCAAGTACGTTCTTGAGTTCTTGGCAAGTACGTACCCGCAAGAACAGTTGAAAGTCTGTTCTTACCGAGTTCACAAGGACGCAGTATGCTAGTTCGCCAATTGGAAAAGGGCGTTCTTGATGACGTCACTCAACTAGCGTAAATTTCAATAAATTCAAATTAACACAGGATGATTCCTGTTAATTAATTAATGGTGGTAAAAATGCAATACATTTCTGTACTGACCTTCTATATTTACCGCTGCTGGTGGCGCATTGCATTGTGGGATATCTTGCTGCCTCAAGTCCGCAGAAGGATGCATTGACGCATCCTCGATAAAATGGGCGGAGCAAGAACACATCCGGGTACTTTGAGCGTTCTTGCTTGGATGTGTACTTTGAATTGGAACAGTACTTGGGCCGCTGTCGATGACGTTTCACGAGGACGCGAGAACACAAGTACAGACAAGAACGCATATTGAGAAACGGCCATGATTTCTCCCCCCCAACTGGTCCTCAACTTTTATGTTATGAGTCTTCTATGGGGAAATGACAAAGTAATTGGTCTATAAATGCACTGTCTGAAAAATCATTTATAGCTTATCCTGACAGAAGAGAGGAAGTGTAACAAATATAGTTCTGCTCAAATTATTTACACTTAAGGCAGTGCTTCTCAATTTTAGTCGTTAGGCCCTCCTGTTCTGCTTGTTTTAGATGAGCCTGTATTCCAGAACAGCTGATTCAAATGATTGCATGACCATCACCCACAGCTTCATTACAGGTGTGTGGCAGAAGGGAAACACCTAAAACATGCAAGGCAGGGGGCCGTGAGGACAGGAATTGAGAAACAATGTTTTGATTTGACCAAAATGAGTCTTCTGACTGGAAGTAATAATGCTTTTGAGTGGCCAAGCCAAAGTCTGGCTTGAATCTGATAGTTGAGTAAAGATTAAGGTGATGGCAAGGAGGCCTTCAATCTGTATAATGAGTTTCCCTTTAAGTTTTGAGAAGAGCATAAATAATGTTCGACATGCCTTTACAAACAGAAGCTGTGACAGTTTTCTGGTCTGATACCTTCAAGAGCTTTTGTAAAACACAATGCCAAGTAGGAAAGACTTATTTGAGAAGCAACTCCTGATGTCCATCAATCTGAAAAGCTCTATTAAAAAAAAAGGATTTTCCCCTAAACCGGGGTGATCATCAGCAAATGGAAAACATTTAGGACAGCTGATAATTATTCCTGCAGGAAAAGGTCCAGCAAGCAGCTCTGAAGGTCAGACTGAGATGAATCTCCAAAGCTGAGCCCTGGGCCTCAGTTTGCATGTTACATGTTCATACATTTTTTTAAATAATATTTGAAATGTATGCACTTTAATTTCCTCTTTCTCAATCAGATTTAAGTTAGCTACTACTGAGCTTTCTATCCCAGCAAGCATTGCACAGTTTCTAGCAGCGGCATAAAACTTAGTTTTGTCATTTTTGACAAGGTGCTGATTTTATGCTCCATGTGTCAATACAAATTATGATTCATCAATTAGGATTTTCATTCTTAACACTACATTAGAAATAAGTTTATAATGTTTTTGCTTTTTGAGCTTCTAGCCACGGTCCTGAGCTAACATTCAGTCCATCTGTGTAGGAAAGGGAACTGAAACACATGGTCAGTCTGACATCATGTCTGGCCCTGAAACTTTGTGTTCCAGCTCACTGTAGCAGCAGCAGTTGTGGCTGGCTGTGTGTGTGTGTATGAGAGAGAGAGGGAGAGAGAGCATGCACACTTGCTTAAAGAAAAATGTACATTTGAGGTTTTGTGAGTCATTTCCAGTTAGGTTGCCCTTTTAAGTCATCCAAGACTGCTGAGGTGCTTGGATTTTTTTTTCCCTCCCACTCAGACTTTGCTTTCAATCTTTCTTTGAAATAAAATTTTGAAACAGGATATGTACTAGTTTATTCCCCTGTAGTAGGTTGTGCAGCTTGTTGAACATGTAAACTGTCTGCAAAGTTTACACTGATGTTTGGAGGCTTTGCTGTTTTTCCATCAGAAAGGCTCTGATGTAGTTCTCTGAATCACTGTGTAGGATTTCTGCTTCACTTGTTTTGTTTGTGCTGCCTAATACATATTTTAAACTGTATAGTAATCATTTCTAAAGCTTTTCCCCTTCAGTTGTGTCTAGACTTGTAAGTTGTTAGGCTGGGAACAAGCTGTACAATCTTTTTCCTGATTTTACCAAAGATTCACTGCTGTACTAAGCTTGTATCCGTCTGAACTAGTTGGGGACAGTCGGCATGGCTACTTGAGACAAAATATCTGGGGGTGTGAAGGCTACGGATGCAAATTTAGAGATCTTTGAGGGAAACGGATCCAACCTCAGACGCAGTCAGTGAAACGTTAAAATATTTCAGGCAAATGTAGTGTGAACTGATTATTACCTACCTAACTACATTCGTGTGTTAACAGCATCTTATCTTTTCTGTAACAGGTTAGTTACAGTACAAAAACTGAACATGTCAAATATACACAACAAATGAGAACCAAAACACTAGAGGTTGTTTTAAATTTGTTTTAATTTAGTTCGAAATAAATGCAGCAATTAGATGTTCAGAATGGAATATATAAATGTATTTTTATGGAATGTTTGTGAGTACTCCCAGTCTTTTCTAAATCTGTAAAATGATGGAAGTGTGGTGTTTTTCCAGATTTAAACACCATGGCATTACCATGCCAGTGTTTTTGGAATATGTAAAAAAAAAATGCACATGTTAAACTAAGCAAATATGCAGCTAAAAGTTGTTGAAGGGTGACATTTTGACATTATGTTAATTCAGGCATCAATGCATAAAACTTCCACGAAAAAGATTTATGTTGCAACTCGTCCAGTGAAAAGAACAAAGTAAGACAAACTGTTGTCTGAGAAGCAGCAGCTTGGTGGCTTAAATTGGCAACTTATCCAAGGAAATGAGAAGTGCTCTGAGCTGAGTCTGATCTGCCAGTAAATCACATCGGTGTTAAATGATGTGTCCAAACTCTGAATTAAAATTCCAATTGAATTTAGATAGATTTTGTCATTTCTCTTATTGTTATGATCATTTTTCCCAGCAGCCATGTCAGCAGAGTACTTTGTATTGCAGTGGCAGTCTAAAATATAGTTTTAGTGAATGGAAGCAGCTGAAAGTCTTATCGGTCTTTTTCCACATAATCAACCTTTATCATAAGCATTCGAATAAACTACATATTTCTTTTCTTTTTTTGCTTTGTTTTTAATCTGTAAAGCTCTTTGAGTTTCTGCTGGGGTGAAAACAAAGGTTCACTTGATAATGTGCCTGTCAAAACAATGTTTTTACCGCGTAGCCCTGTTTTAACACAAATACTTTTTCCCTAAAAAAGCTAATGGCATACATCTGGCTGACAGAAGTGAAGTTGTAATACTCACCTACAGTCAGACAGCAGCTGCAGAGAAACACTTTATATGCTTCAAGTTCTAGAGCTGCAGCGTCTTTGGTTAAAAACTAAGGAGGGATATTTGGAGGGAGTTGTCATTTATTTAACACCACAACCCACAGAGGTCGGCAGACATTTTGTACTGCCAGAGGACTGCTTTGAAATCATAGTAAACCTATATATTTTCATAGCTGGGAAAATTAATGCACACAACAGACACCTGTGGTTGCATTGATGGTCTGGCTGCTGACTCTGCTTAAATTATCCGCCATCAATTATGGATGAAAAAAACAATGTCTTTTGTTCCTTCTCTTGAGTCCTGTTCTTATACATAAGCATTATTTCAGGTTTTGAAACTGTTTCTGTTGGGTGAGAAGAGCCAATCAAGTGCTCACTCCATTGTTTTTGAGTGGGTGGGAGATAAAGCAATTTGCTTAAGAAGCAAGTGATTATTTGGTGCTGTAGTAACTGACAGTGTAACTAAATGTGAAATGTCCTCAGTTTAAATAGTGTAAAAGTTGCTTCTCCACTGATTAATAATCCATCGCTGACAGAGGATTTAAGCTGGACACGGAACATTTCATTTCAAGGAATGTTATGACTTCTGGGTTGTTGACCAGATAGTTTGTCAGGTCAAGATCTGCTTTTCGTAACTTGGGGGTCAGAATCGTCCAGCTGATAGGAATGTATGTCTCGCTTTCAGATTCCTGAACCAGATACAGAGATTCTGTTCTTTTACCTTTTTTGATCTTGTGTGTTAAGGGGGAAAAAAATCAGCTGTTTTTTGTTTGATGGCATAATGTCCATTAAATGTAAGATATATTGTTTGCTCAATAGAGTTGTTTAGAGATGTGGACGTAAAAAGGGCTGGGTAGCAAAATCTTATTCCGTGGAATATCCCTGAATGTGCATTTTGAAACCGCTGCGTCCTTGCGCTCCTGCAGTGGCTCCTGTTGATGTTTACACAGTTTATCTGCACTCTCTGACAGGTTGTCCTATTGAGCGGTCATCTGGACAGCTGGGATGTGGGCCAGGGCGCCATGGATGATGGAGGTGGAGCCATGATATCCTGGGAGGCTCTGTCCCTCATCAAGGACCTGGGTAACCCTTGGGGAAATGTAGAGGGAAAAGTTCCACATATATAATATTTAGCTCTTAATACCTCTCCTTCTTATTTTACGTCTTTGCCTGCATAACCAGGGCAGTTTCTGCTCAGACATGTCGATATCACTCTTTATTTCTGCCTTTGCGGGCTTGTAGTTTTAGAGGAATGACCTTTAGACACAGTGCTAGGGCTGGTTTGGGCTAGTTTTCACTATCTGCAGTCTTTAGAGGGGATTCACCTAAGGAGTAGGGTTTCAGTTGCTTTAGGAGGAAAAATCCCTCGCATCCATTTTAAAAACCAATCTTTGAAGGAGATTTACGCACTGATGTAATATCTATGTAACGAGACGATGTGATGGTGTGGCCGTTGATATCTTCAGCTTTGTTTTGCAGATGTTCTTTGGGAACATTGCATCCTACAAAATCTGATATTGCTTTAACTCATGAGAAATATGAGCCTATTGTGTTTCAGAAGTTCCTTTCACCTCTGACATTCCCATTGTTTTCCTTGGACTGGCCTCATTTTTAAGCATGACAGAAAGGCTGCTTGCTGCAAAAATATTCCCAGCTCCTCCTTTTGTTCAAACATTAGAAATATGGTGAGCAGTAATGGAAATACAGCAGTCCCATAGCTGGAGGAAATAACCTATTGCTCTTCCCGTTAACCCTTTGTTAAAACAGAGAGAGATATTCCTCCAGATTGCAGAAGGCAAGACAGTAATCGGTGTCCCAGGCATCCTCATCACTCTGTGGAGAGCTTTCCTGTCAGCTATTGTGCATCTGCTTTGCCAAGACGTGGTTAGGAGTTTCTCCGTGAAGATGGAGGGAGGAATTCCCTCTTGATTCAGATTTCTGAGGAGGCTGAAATCCTCTGCTGGGCTTTCTTTGCCTTTTATTTTGGTGTTAACGCTCCAGGAAATAGGTCGGGATTTTATCATATTACATTTTAGTGAAGATTTAAAGTTTCTCCAGCATTTTAATTTAACTTGATCATTTTTAGCTGGAAATAAAAGACATCATAGAGGCCTCCCTTCAGCAGTTAAGTCAAAGGATTTATCTCCTTGGAAATCATCTGAAAAGGAATCTGGAGCCTCTCGAGGAATGTTAAGGAGTGACTTGCTGCTGCAGCGCCATTCTGGGCCTCTTCTCTTATTGCTGCTGCTTTGTTGGCGTCAGTCCTTAAAACAGCTTGGCTCACAAAACTAACCTCACATTTACCCTTCCAAACTACAACTGGACCCTCTGATGCTTTTAGATATGACCACTGCAGATTAACTCTAACCACAGAGCAGAGCATGCAGGACAGAGAGGCCTGAGGACCAGGGTTGGGGACCTATGACCTAAGTGACAAACTAAATACTAAACTCTTTTGGTTGTGTTTCATGTACACAACTGATAGTAGTTCACTTAATAGAACTATAGATTTCTGCAGCCTCTCCACTGGCTATGCGTCACTTGGCCGGGTCTTTAGAAAAATGTTGTCCTTTCCCAGCCTGTTAGTTTTGGTGAATAACCATATCTTGGTAGGTCTGAAGCATGGCTAGGATTCTTTAAAATCCTAGCCATGCTTTAATCTTCTCCACAACTGCGCCCCTGACCTATCTGCTGTGTTACCTGGTCTTCTTGATGCCGTTTGTTCACCAATGTTCTCCAGGCGACTAAACAGTGTGTTCATCTTCTCGAAGGTTTGCGCCCAAGAAGAACTTTGCGAGCGGTTCTGTGGACAGGTGAGGAGCAGGGTGGTGTCGGTGGACAGCAGTACTTCAATCTACACAAGGTACTACTGCTCTCCACTTAAGAGAGGGGGGAAAAACACAATAACAGCCTGAAAGCAAATATCTCTCCTGCTGAAACAGAGCAGGAAGGGTCAGGACATTGTGAAAGCGCCGCGTACGAGTGTGGAAATGTTCTTCCAGCAGACTGGTGAGCACTTGGCCAGCTCCCAGATTTTTCTATGCAGCAATCGAGTCTTACAGTTTCCTTTTTTAGAGCTTTGGCTTCCCACCAGGCTCTAAATCCTGATAAGCCAACTACTTGAAACCAGAGATAAAGAGGTTATGCATTTTTGAAAACAAACTAATCATTTTTCACAAGGATGCCATAACTCTCATGAGGGCTTTTTATGTTCTTTCTGAAATGTGTAAATAACAATTTATTTCCCTTTTATAATAACAAAGTCACTTTAGCGACTCCTAGTGGTTGTTTATAGTATGTGTGATCAGATGTAAAGGTTGATGTAACTGACTGGATTGAATCTTTTGTGGGGTTACAAACCATTTTGTGCCTTTTTTTTTTTCATGCTTTCCCAACATTGTGTTTACATTTGCTTTATCCTCACCCACCCGCTTCACTTCCTTTCCACACATAGGAGAACATCTCCAACTTTGACCTTGTTATGGAGTCTGACTTGGGGACGTTCACCCCGATGGGTCTGCAGTTTTTAGGCAGTGATGCGGCACGAAAGGTGAGATCAAAGGTCAAACTACAAAAGGACTCAGCTGTTTTTAGAAAGTTAAGACATCAATTGTACAGGGTGAGGTGAGAAACTGTTGCATGGAAAATATTTGTTCTGTTCAGCTTGAAATACTAAAACTTTACTGTTTATTGTATGCAAAGAAGATACAGAAACATCTAAAAGAAATTATAAAAAATATGTGGAGTAGAAAATGGTTTGTGTTTTTCGATTCGGTAACACTTTATTTGAAGGGGGCTGAATAAGACCGTCATGACACTGTCATAAACATGACATAACATGTCATGAACATGAATAAGCCTTCATGAATATTTATGACTGCTGTCATAAAGCGTCATTCACTAAATTATGACACTTTTAATACAAAGTTGACATTATTCAAAATGCCGTTGTATGACAACTTGACATTAACCAAGAAATCATTACTGTTTAAACTTTACCTTTAATAACATAGTTACCTAATTTTTAAAGTGCAATCAGTAATACTTTTATAACAAATTTATATCAGTAATGATTTCTTGGTTAATGTCAAGTTGTCATAACAAAGACATTTTGAATAATGTCAACTTTGTATTAAAAGTCATAATTTACCGAATGACGCTTTATGACAACAGTCATAAATATTCATGAAGGCTTATTCATGTTAATGACATGTGTTATGACATGTTTATGACAGTCTTATTCAACCCCCTTCAAATAAAGTGTTACCTTAGATTTTATTCTGTCTCTGTCTATTTTTAGTTGTTTCAGTCAGAGCCATTTATATGTTGTTGTTTTTTTTACTTATAATGTAATTTTTCCCCTTTTATTTGCAAAATCTGGCCTTCATTTTAGACAGTTTTCTTCTTTAAAGTCCTCATACCCATCCATCTGTCCTTTCATCCATCAGTCTGTCTTTCTATGCGTCTTCTGTTTCATCTGTCCACACATTCATCCATAAATCTTGAAATCAGACAGCAATTGACTGAGAAATCGGAACATTTGGCTTTGGGAAAATATTGGGAATAAAAATGTATAGGAATCCCGTGTGACACTTTCTCATATGGCTTTGAATCTGTTGTATAATATAAAACAATAGATAGGTTTTACCCCTTTCATTGTTATTAAAAAGCTATAACAACAAATGACTTTCCGTATCTACAGGTGATGGAAGAAGTGATCAAACTTTTGGCTCCCATTAATGTGACCAAACTGGAGACCGACGCTGAGGGAACAGATATCTTTCTGTGGATGCAAGCAGGAGTCCCAGGTTAGTGTGATCAATATGCAATATGCATGTGCAAATGGCACATGAGGTAAAATTAAGTGGACACGCAGAAAAACGAAGACCTATATGTGCTAAAACCTTAAATTGCATTTTTCAGAACATGCATCAAAATGGAAATACCCATTAGTTGTGGTTGTCTTTTTCATAGCCTTTTTCTGCTGATTGCGGAACTATAAACAGCTTGGTTTTGTTATAGGGAAGTGGCGATAGAAATTCAATGGAACCACGAAATGAAACTTTCAGATGGTCTAAGTATGGATATAAAGCTTCCACTCAGAATCCTGGTATGAAGTCAGAGATCGGAAACCGGACCTCTAACTGATGCCAGACGTTGATCTTTGTGAAAACGTAAACTAATATTAAAGCATGGGGCCAAAAAGTATTCTGTGAATTGCTTTGCAGCTTAAATATACATGCATCACTTTTGATCCTGTTGTTGAAACAGTTTCTATCATTTCGTTGTGATGTATGTGATCTTTAGAGGAAACAAAGAGAATCGCATCACAAGAGTTTTCCTTGTGGAACGTTTTAAAAGCTGCAGCGAAACAGCTGAGAGTTCAGTGTCTCGATCAAAGGGCATTTTTCCAGCATTACTGTCTTCAGTGGTGCTGCAATCAGCCTGTTCACTTACTCAATATTATACATGTAATACAAGCCAAAGGGAACAAAACTGAAATTTCAAATTAAACAATTTAGAAAAGATAGGTGCAAGACTGTTTATACAGGGTAAGTATTAATGAAGATACTCTGATCTTTGGCAGCTTTAAACCATAATTTATATATTTTTTCTGAAGATATTCTAAGCAGGAATAAACTTCTCAAAACGGGAACAATTTGCTCTGAATGTACAGCCATAGATATGCAGCAAACCTAGAGCCCTCTCTTCCTGTCTGCTCTTGGATAGTCGCTGTGTTATTGTTGGGTGAAGAAACCATTTTGGAAAGTCCAGAAAGGAGGGTGGGGTACAGATGAAACAAACTGTACAGATCAGTCTCATTTGGTCAGATTCAATGATTCTCTGAACAGGTTTTTAGAGGCTTGCTGCTGTTTGTTGCTGATTATTTGCGAGATGGTATTTCAGGCTTAAATAACAATGATGATAAACCAACTGCTTTTTGTACAAATTTCACACATTAATCTTTTCCAGTTCTATTAGATCACTTTTGAAACAGAAATTAACCCCCAATGAGCCAAGAAAAGCAACTTTATTCAACGCTGTTTGCAAATGTCGTTTGCGCTTCAGATTTACGGGCGTACCAGAAATATGGAAATGTAAAGTTCAGCTAGGAACTTCTGCATGTAAAGAAAAAGGAATTAATTGTACTACATTTTTTTAAACGCATGAAATCTAAGTGATTTAAATTAGTACAGCCCTAAAGTTATTGTTTCTGGCACTCTAAAGGAAGTGCCAGAAACAATAACTTTAGCGTGTTTCTGGCACTTCCTCCTTTTACTCACAGCATTTTTCATGTCAGAGTAATCCAAACATAGGCCCAATTGGAATATTCCTGTCATTTGCAATCAAGACAAATTCTCCCCAATCCTAAAGTCCTGAGATCAGGATTTTAGGATTACCTCTTTAAAACTTTGACCGATTTCAATAATTTAGCAGTTTGTCTTTTTGGAAAACCTACTTGGTCCAAAACTCCAAACTTTTATATATTCATTATTTTCACACATTGTCCTTTTTTTTTTTTTTTTTCAAATATATGAATCCATCCTATTTATCCCAGACAGACTAGTATAAATATGCAGCATATTTAACTGTTTTTTATTACAAAGATGCTGTCTGTTTAAGGAAAACTGTTAAGTGTGAAGAGCAAACAAAAAAGTAAAATAATGTTTTAAAACATTTTTAAGATCAGTAGATGTTTGGTACAGATGACGCTTTATAGGCTGTTGCTTTGACGTCTATCTTGTTTCAAGCAAAAAATAAAAAAAAAGGCATGCACTGAAGAATAAAGACGGCAATGAAATATTTATTTCACAAATCAAATTACACAATCTAATTTGGCCTAAGGCCATAGAGTTGGTAACAAGCTTGGCACGCTTTAATCCAAACTGCAATTTCTTGGCTATTTCAAAGCTTTGTGTCAACATGGTGTGATTTCTTTTCTTTGTGCAGTAGTCTCTGTGGAGTCATTCCCCTCAAAAAGAGAGCTGCTTTGTTACCTCTGTAGCTTCGATCCAGGAAATCCATGAGATCAGAAATCGAACTGAGACACAGGGACGGCTCTGGGTCCCGACAGCTTCTGTGCCTCACAGGGAGCTTCCACAACATGGGGCAGATGGCAAGGTGTGAAATATTGGTGCGAAAAGTTGTGCAATTAAGCCTCACGTGGCTTTTCTAGGTGAGGCGTTGCAGCACCAAAGAAAAAATTGCTCTGCGTGTTAAAGTCTGTCATTCTCCACTCGGAAGTAAAAGACATCTGCTTGCACCTCAGCGTGATGCAGTTCATGTCGAGTTGGATTTGCTGCTCTCTGAGGGGACCACCACCTCCTCTGCCGGGCTGAGTCGAGGTCTCTTGGATGGTCTCTCTTTCAGCTTTTCTCCAGGCTGCAGGAGCAGCAGGGGGCTGTCTAAGGTGATGGTTTCTGTGCAGACGCCACAATTTCGTCTCTTCACTCCGACCTGCGTACCTGCAACACAAATTAACAGAATGTTTAAAACAAATGCATCTGAAGACAATCGTGTGAAAGACCAGTAAGATTTATCGTTTCGATTTATTGAAAGGTTAATTTTCAAACCTGTGCTTTTAAAGCTGTTTGGACACGCGACGGGCAGGCGTGCACCGACTGCTCGTGTTTCTGTGGTTATGGGCTCGGTCTGGGAGGCCACATGGTTTACAGCAGATGCCACCTCACATGTGGTTTTCACACGATATTCCTAAACATTGAAACAAATGATAGGTTTTACACACCCGACCTCAACTGGTCAGCATTATGTTATGTTTTTGAATAACATATCAGGCATAAAGCAATAGTCAGTAGTAAACGAACTTTTTTTTTTCTCATCAAGCTCATGTTAACTCGCTCATGTCCATCTATCCATTTAAACAGAAAATAGTAAAAAAAATAAACACTCTGTTTTCCAGACTAGTTTAAGAATAGTATGAATTTGAGCCTAAACCAAATGGAGGTGATGCAGATACTTTTTGTGTAAATTTCCAGAATAAGATTTTCACTCAATGACCAGTAATTCAATCCAAAAAGTTAAGACATTTCTGACACATTTTTGGATCTACAACAATTTTTATTTTCTACAAAATAATCAGTTTACTTTAGTTTCTTTTCACATGCTCATGTTGAATACATTTAACATGCAAAAATTATATAATTCGAAATTAAAATACTTAGCTATTTCAATTTGGAAAACAAAATTTGACAATTTTAGCCAGCAAAAGAAAAAAGTTTGAACACTGGTATTGGGCCCTTTCCACACTAGACTTGGTGGTCAACAGAAATTTAGGAAATGTATCTATATAGTTTCAGTTTTTGAAATGCATTTACAAAATACAACAATTCCAAATAGGGATGAGTATTTATCATATTATGTGATAAATTTCTTAGAAGAATTTTGATTTATTGTCACAATAAATTTCAATCAGTGTTAAAACCCCCAATTATTTTTACTATTTTATCCACTGTTAATGAATTTAATATTCTTAAATATATTAATATATTCATTTATATATATATATCACTAAACTGCGAGCAGTTTAGTGATAAATACATTTGTGTTTGTGGGGGTTTGATTAATTTGTCATGCAATCACACCCATGCACTAGAAAATAACTAATAAATAGTTATAGTCGTCACTTTTACCGTTATCACAATAGCACCGCAAAATGTCGTGATAAAAATAAGTCCCCTACTTCCAAGTAATTCACTTGAAGTCCGGTGAATTATTTCTAAGTGAGCGACGTCCCCTCGCTCGGAAGCTCACTGCATAAGATTCGCTCATCTGATTGGTTGAAGCTAGCTCGTGCTCCTCGGCTTATCCAATGATCTATTCGGAATTAGAACTACCGACCGCTTTCTCCTTCCTAGTGCATCTGCACACTTTGCAGGCTTTTTTCCAGCACACACTCGCTTCCTGTACTTACATACACTCCTGGATCGTGATACGGGTTCCGGAGCGTCGGAACCGCTCCATCTCTCAGCTGCAACTTCTCCGACCACTTGGACCAGTTCAGGAAGCAGGCTTTTGTAAAATGCTGTGCACATAACACGAGGTCGGGTTGGTACTGCTTGGGGATGCTGTTGAAGATGAACCGCAACCACTTCTCCTTCTGGTCGGCGCGTTGCGGGAGTCCAAACCTGATCTGTTGAGCATCGCAGTTCAGAATACAGCGTCTTTCCATCTGGGCCATGCCTGCAAACAATGAAGCGTATCTCCGCCGGAAACACGTGACCTCCACTTCCACAAAGAACGGAGATGTGTGTAGTTATTTGTTTGCTCCAGCAAACTTTATAGCCATGTAATATATGAACAGTAATTGTGCAATAAAACCCCAACTCTACTGTATGCATTTATTTATGAATGATTTAATGTTTTACTTGCTTTTTGGAGCTTTCCCAGGAATTTTTCAAATAACTGAAGAAGAAATACAACTCACTCATTAAAAGTATGTGCACATGTAAATTTTATTTTAAAAAGAGGTAATAGTTGTTTTTTATAATAACTAATAGCTTGCACTCCACAAGTCACACCTTTTGTGGAGGATTGGCAAGAAAAAAGCATATTTTCGGAAGCTGGTCACAGTTGATTAAGATGAATTAAGCTAACTACCAGACAGTCCTGGAATAATGTCTATTAAACGCTGTGAAAGACGTGGACGAAGGGGCAGAGGTTTATATTCCAGCAGAAAGATTCTTACACATACGACCAGAACTGGAATAAAACTGTTTACAAGAAAGCATATTCATGTGCAGTACTGGCTTGTCAATGTCCAGACCTAAATCAAATGGGGAATTTGTGGAAACACTTGAAACTATTGTTCTATGTATCGGATCAGATTTGTGACCACTGTGTGTGACTATTATTCTTCATGTTGCACACAGGGGCCAGCCTTCATGTGGCAGACAGTCGTTACTTTTGGTTCCACCACAGCGAGGGCGACACCATGACAGTCCAGGACCCTCACGACATGGACCTCTGCTCGGCGTTGTGGGCCGTGGTTGCGTACGTCGTGGCTGACCTGGAGGACATGCTGCCCAGAAGGCCGTAATGTCAGATTTATCACAACCTGAATCGGGTTGCACTTTTGCTGAATGAGTTTTTGTCCTCAAAACGACACAAGTGTTTGGATGAATGAGAGAACATAACATCTGATGCACAAGGGTAGCATGTAAAGTTAAATTAAGCCCAATATACTTGAAAAGATTTTCAGAATTGGATTTTTACTGGCAATATTCTTGACTGGCAAATGTTCAGTGCAACACCTAGTTTGTACTGGGTGCAAACAGGTCCATTAGCCTGTCTCTAATGGACAATGAGGACAAGCAGGTTTAATTAATGGATGGAGGCATAGCCATTCTTTTTTTTTCCTATTAATGTAATATTGTAATAAAATTAGGCCACAAAATACAGCATAATGCAGATTGCTAAGAGATATTGATGTAGAACTGAGCTTTCTATCCCAGCCAACACTGCACAGTTTCTAGCTGCGGCATAAAACTTACAGCTTTATGTCATTTTTGACAAGGTGCTCGATAAATATTTTCCCTGCACCAAAGACAAAAGCTACATAGACATCTGCTTTTTTTGTTTTCTGGTCCAAGAGATGCGTCTGCTGCACCAGAACGGTCCACAGGTTCACGTTGAGCTGGTCTTGTCCTGAACAGCTTCCTCCTCATATTCCAGTCCAAGTCGAAGTCTCTTGGATCGTCTTTTTACCAGAGTTGGTTGTAGGAGCAGCCGTGGTGACTTTAAGGGGTCTGTGCAGATAATATGATGTTGACTATTAAACATCACCTGTGAGCCTGTTTAAAAAACATAAAAATAAAAATGTTGAAGTAACGGAAAGTTTTCTGAATGAGTTTTATTCCTCAAATTTATTATTTTAGTAGCAGCAATCCCATTATGTGCAAAGTAACATACCTGTAGTTTGAACTTTAATTTGTCGGGGTATCCTGGTCAGCTGTGTGCCGACTGATCGTGTGTTTGTGGAAATGGACGGAGGGTCGGTCTGGGACGCCACATGTCTTACAAAGTACATCACCTGGTACTCTGTCTTTACATGACAGTCCTAAACAGCCACACAAACCGGGAGATTTTACAGCCCTTTTCACAACCTGTCAATATTACCTTACTCTACGCTTTATAACAGGAAATGACAAGCCAAAATCTAATATTAGAGCAGATCAAGACAGTTCACCCCTTAGAATTTTGTGATTTGTTAAATTACATATACTGCGTGCGTCTGCATTGCACAAATTCTAAGTTAAAGTCGAATAAGAAAAAATATATACTTTTATTTATTTTTTTTTATGTAGCTGTTTACTTAAACATATTCAAGTTATAACAATATAACTTAACCTGACATGACAAGTTATAGTTATATATGCTGAAAGTTCAGACGTTCAGCTTTCCTTTGAGGGCAAATCACATTAAAAATGGAAGAAGGGTGTGGGAGTTTCAGCCGCCTTGTTTTTAAAGGGACCAAAAATAATTGGCCAATTGACTCAAAGGCTATTTAATGGGCAGGTGAGTGCTATTCCTTCGATATGCCATATTTACAGACAACCCTCCCCCCCCCCCAAAAAAAAAAAAAAACAATTTGTGGTTTGGTGGTCACATTTTTAAAAATTTTAAT